AATCACTGTGCTGTATTAATTGGGATGTAGGAAGTAGGCTAGATATTGAGCCAGATTCTTGCATATTCCAACAGCGTGTTAGGCCACAGGTAATAATTAAAATTCCAACATTCTGTTGAGCTCTCACAGTTCTAGTTGGGGTGTTTGGCATTTACAGGGTTGTGTACTGGGTGTGAAAACAGTCTTAAATTACAAGATCACTTTTGTCTGACTTTGAAATATAATCATAAAACAAAGAAGGCTCTTTAGCTGCAGCTGTGATATTGTCACTGAAAATTTGACCCTTGGGGTATGACAGCAGTGCGTGTGCCATTACCTGGAATATCCTGATGCCCATGTGATATCCATGTGGAATGTTATCTCTGATTTATTGTTTACCTAACAGGAGATGACCGAAGAACAGAAAGAAGGTGCTTTCTCCAATTTTCCGATTTCCAAAGAGACTGTTCAGCTTCTTCAAGGTAAATTTCTTGGCATGATGTGAGCACAGAAAGTGCATGATCTCTGTCACGTGTTATGCCTGACATACTCCATCCGTGAGCTTTGAGACGGGCTCTGCTCGCGCGTGTGCCAGCGCTGATGCCATATGGAGGCATACTGATTAAATATAAATACACGTTTCAACACAGACTTTTCTGTTTGCAGTAGAGCCCAGTTCAGCCTTTGTGGTGTAATTTTAAAGGGCATAAGCTCAAAAAAATTAGTTCTGTGTGAGAATTTTTAAATTAAAAGTTAATTCATAGTGAGTAATGGAAACCCAGTTATATTAAGTATCTTTGACATTAGTTTGTTCATGACTTAGTATGAATTAAGAGAGGAAGTGGTTCTGACATATGTTTTGTTTGAAAGGAGAAGATTTTCATAGGTAAATTGGGAGTATTACATAAAGCCACAGTACTTACAGGCTTTTGTTAAGGCTGGTAACTTCATCTGTCCCTGCTAGCACTGCCTGGTGGTATGAATTGGGAGAGAAAGTCCCAGGGCAGACTTTACAGATGGCCTCTGTGATTAAATAAATCAGTGGAGGGGATGGTGCAGTCCTGTCATACTTTAGAGGCGAGGGAAGTTCTGCGTGGGATAACTATCTCTGAAGAGTATGCAAGAACACTTGTAAAATGATTGTATTAACGAAACCTGTTGAAATTGTCACAGCTCGAGGGGTGACGTACCTGTTTCCTGTGCAAGTGAAGACCTTCAAGTCAGTATTTTCTGGCAAAGATGTCATTGCTCAAGCACGAACTGGAACAGGGAAAACCTTCTCTTTTGCTATTCCCTTAATTGAAAAGCTTCAAAAAGACTCACAGGAAAGAAAAAGAGGCCGTCCACCAAAGGTAACTGTGCTTAGTTAGAATGCTGATTTTCCTTTTGCTTATGTCCGCGTGATCCAGATTTTTAACCCACTGGAAAAGTTCTTCAGGTTCATGCAGGGGTTAGCTAACCCTGTTAAGAATGATTTGGAAGCGGGGTTCATTGGGCTTTTCCTGCATCCTGTGCTGCCTCATACCCCCTGATCAAGAGTAAAGAGCACAGTGGCTCTATCCACTTGTTAATTCCTTTTTCTGCTTAGAGGGAGACTGAAACTACAGGTGTGCTCCTGTTTAGTTTGGTTCAGGTCTGGCAGTTACTGGATGCTTGTTTTTCTCCCAGAGTAATAACAGATGAGTGACTTATTCTGATTGATAAAACCTCTCTGCTTAAACATGTTTGTTTAGACACGTAAATAGTGGGATGTTTTACAAACAGCTGTAGTTTTTGCTTAGGACCACCACCAGATATTGAAGCTTCTGCTCCAGAGAATGCAGATTCATCAGGAGCTGCCCGCATTCTGCTGGGGAACACCATGTATGTTCTTAGGATGCCATAAATGACGGCACCTCCGAAACTAGATAGGCCAGAGTTTATCATAATCCTGTTAACAGTGGGTATGTTGTTTTGGTCTGTTTATTTCTTCTTGTTACCCACCTCATGGATTACCTGAAACACATTCCAAAACTAGGTCCAGCTGTTCTGTTTGCATCTGCCCATCACGTTGGCTGTGTAACTGAGAACGCTGGCTCTGGATTTGGCACAGGCTTGTGGAGAAGGGAAAGCTTTCTTTGAGGGAGTCACAAGTCTTAAAATAAAAAAGGTCTTGGGCGTCACTCTACCACAGCGCACTACTACTTTCTGTTTTGTCATGTGTTCCAGTGTTGAAAGAAGTAATAGGATAAGGATTTTAAGGTTCCTTTTGCCAAACCACTGATGCCAGATTTAAGTACCTCCTGTCCCTCTCATTTAAAAAGAAGTTAGCCTGTCCTACGTGACTGTGTGCTGGAGGAGATCAGTGATGTTACAAGAGCCTTGAGCAGCGTGTTTCTCTAATCTTTGCTCAGATAACTGTTGAAAACATTTGATTTTTTTAATTATGTAAATGGTCAGTCTGATAGTTTCTTGGCAGAAGCCATGCTGAGAGAACATGTTTGTCTTCTGTCTAGGTGCTGGTTCTTTGTCCAACCAGAGAGCTGGCAAACCAGGTTGCCAGAGATTTCAAGGACATCACAAGACAGCTGACAGTAGCTTGTTTTTATGGAGGAACTCCATATAATGGACAAAGTAAGTGATGTCACTAATCATTGAAATGTTGATGGACTGACTTACTTGAGAAATGGTGTTGGGTCCTGTCAAACACACACTTTTAACTCAAGAAGTGGAGAATATTCATGGGGAAATCAGTAACTCAAAATATATCTGCTTGTGGTGAGAAATAACCGTAGCTCTCAAATTATATTCTTGGTGTTCCTTGTCTACTCAGGCACTTTAATTTAAAGTTAGAGATTATACTGTCTGTATACACAGTATTTGTCTGGATGATTTTTAAAGTCGAGAAGAATTTCTTTATTGTGACAGCCTAATTTGTTGTCTTCATGGCTGTAAACAAGGCAAGTGTTTTAGGAATGAGCACAAGCTCTTTTATCATAATGTATCTTGAGATAGTAGTGGCGATATTTTTTTTTCCTGCAGAACTCCAGAAGGAGGTGATTTCAGTAATTTGGATAGTCAAATAAATAAAGGTTTTTTTAAGTTTCCATTGAAGGCAGACAATTTAAGGATAGCTATTTCCAAAGTATATTAAAAGAAGCTCTTTGCCACTTTATTTAAGTCATGGGGAGAAGGAAGGGGGGTGGGAAACCTTTTCTCCCTTCAGAAGAGCAGTGGAACTTCTAGCTGACCAGTTTTGGGGTTGGTTGGTTGGTTTGTTTTGTCTCCTGAGCTTTCTCCCCTCGTTCATCATTCGGTCTCACATTTGTAAGGAGAGTACTTAGAGGTGGTGTAAGAGGCTGTTTCATCATTACTTAGCTGTCATGTGTTGCTACGTTAGAGACTGCTCCCTAGTTCACTGCTAACTCCTCTTCTGCTCTGTCCCATTTATCAGTTGATCTCATGAGAAGTGGCATTGACATTTTGGTTGGGACACCCGGTCGCATCAAAGACCATCTTCAGAGTGGCAAGCTGGACCTGACCAAGGTCAAGCACGTTGTCCTTGATGAAGTCGACCAGATGCTGGACATGGGATTTGCTGAGCAAGTGGAAGACATTTTACGAGTTGCATACAAGAAAGGTAACCTCAATATTTAAAGAATTAGTAGGAAATATGAGTAATAATTTAGTCTGCTAAAATTCAGGTATACTTTTCTGAAAACTGCAAGGTGGCTTTGTCTAGAAATGACTGAATGCTACGGAAGGTAGGAAACACAGCTCGTGGGAAGTGTTGAGAAAGTGGGAGTCATTCACAGGACCCTGGGAAAGCTTAAAATCCAGTAGCTAGGGATCTGTAAAGAACTTTCTTTGACACCTGTCTATAAGTTGTACTTGGACTTCTTCCAGATAAAGGGAATTTGAAGCTTTTTACCCTCTTCACCACTTGAAAACAAACTGGATTTTTGGCATAGTAACTTTCTAATCTTGAAAATATTGAGACTTTCTGGAGTATTTTTTCCCCAGGCAGTAGTAATGCCTACATTTTAAAATCAGAATTGCCTCCTTTATTTTAAATACTGATACTAAACCTCATATTTTTAGTAACTTGTATAATCAACTTGTATACATCTGTAAGATGAAACGTACGAAGGTTGTGAAACACTGTTCTGTGTTTTAAGATTCCGAAGACAATCCCCAGACTCTTCTGTTCTCTGCAACTTGCCCACACTGGGTGTATGATGTGGCTAAGAAATACATGAAGTCTAGATATGAACAGATTGACCTTATTGGAAAAAGAACTCAAAAGGCCGCCACAACAGTCGACGTGAGTAATCTGTCTAATGTGAAACGTTTTCCGGCCTCTTCCCTTTTCCTTTGTGCTACAAATAGTCATCCCACCCTAAGGTACATTATCTGACATATCTGACTTAAGACTGTTGTTGATAGAACTGTGGTAAAATCTGGCACCCCTGACTGTCCTCTAGTGAAATGGTGTGACATCTCCTGCAGGTTTTTTTTTCTACTTGCTTTAAAAAAGTGATTTGTAGACTCTCATCTTTTTTTTTTTCTTCCCCTCTTACTGTAATTAATTTGCTTAATATTAGGCTAATTGTGGTGGACCTAAGAGCCTTATGGATTTTGCCTGTTCCAGGAACATGAGTTAGCATATTTTGCCCATCAGGAAGCTGTGTAACTCTTTAGTATTTCTGTATATTACAGTTTCAGATGTATTAAAAAAGAATGTTGTGTTTTTATGTAAGCTAAACACTGGAATTCTTTTCCATAGCATTTGGCAATAGAGTGTCACTGGTCTCAGAGAGCTGCAGTTATCGGAGACGTCATTCAGGTCTACAGTGGCAGCCATGGGCGGACCATTATCTTTTGTGAGACCAAAAAGGAGGCAAATGAACTGGCTCTGAATGCTTCAATCAAACAGGTATTTTATCATCTGTATTAAGTAACAAAACCTGCCAGGGATGTGTCAACCCTGTGTTGATACCACACCTATGCTGGGTAAGGTTTAAAGAGAGGCTTTTGAAGTGGATAAGGCAGGCTTTTGCAGGTGGTCATGTCGTTTCAAAACTACCAAAAAGAACCTTTAAAAATAAACCCAACTTGTTGGAAGTTGACAGCATTTTAGTCTTCAAGACTAGGCTGCACTGACAGATTCTGGGTATAAAGGATTTTTGCTCTAAAGGCAGAGTTCTCATTGATGTGAAATGAAGCAGTTGTGAATGAATTGTTCCGTAGAGAGGAGTGCCTGGGATTAAAAAATGGTGGTCGACTTGGAGAACTACTAGGATAACAGGTCATGGTACTGGAATAGTAGTTCCTGAGCTGTGATGCTGACGTGAATTATTGTTCCTGGGGGGGTGAAGTTAGGGCTTAGAGCTGTAATGTAACAGAAGCTGTGTTTGAATTTTCATTAAGATGTTTATTAGCTGTTATGAAGAGTTTAAAGATGTATACACAGAAAGGATGCAGTCTGCCATCCCTTGTGAATGCGGTTCGGTGTATTCCCCAGGTTTGTGGTACGGCACACTCTAGCACTAGTGGAAAATAAGTCGTTGGTGTCGTGGTGCAGTGTTGGTGGTGTGTAGTGGCACTGGCACTGCATGCTTGGTTTTGGTGGTGGTATCACAGCAACTACTTCTTCTGTATGTGTTTTCATTGAGGAGATGGGTTTAAGTTGGGTCTAGAAAGCAGTATGGCATTATGTGCCCAGGGAGAAGAGCAGCTTTTTCATCTGCCACAGCCGTGTTCCGTAGTGTTTCTCCCACACTCCTGGATGACCTCGCTAACAGCTAAACCTGAGCGAGAAGCCTTATCCTGTGTTACTGCTGGTGTTAGTGATAGCAGATCTTGCATAGGCAGTGCAGAACTCTGATCTTGGCAGGTAAGAGAAGGGAATTATTTAGGTGTTTCTGGTTTAGCCTGTTAACACTCGCTAACAGAATATATGCCTGGTCCATTTACCAGCTGACCTTAATCCAAAACTGTCAGAGAAAATACTGTTGGATTCTGTGTCAACGCTGGCATCGTGTTAGTGGTGTTTTCAGATCATTCTCTGTGTAGATGTGGAGAACATGGCAGTCATCTCCAGGCGAGCTGGGAAATAAAGTCTTGGAAGCTGTAGTTCACCGGGGTTTATTAGGACCACTTAATTGGTAGTGGGGGAAACGAATGTATTAAGGGGGATTAAGGAGCAACACCATTTTGGGAAAAAGAAGTCTATAAATGAGAAGGCCTGAGAAAATTGATGACCATTTTGAAAGTGCCAAGGCTTGCACAGGTGGTGTGGATGGCAAGTTAGGGCAGAGTTGTCATCATAGGTGACAGTAGGTAGAGCTGGAGGTAAGGCAGGTGTTGTGATTCGGTCTTCCTACCTCTGTTAAAGGTCTTTGAGGTATATGAATAAGAAGGGCTGAGTAAAGACACCTAAATATACACTGGTAATTCAGTTTTTCTGTATCTGTCAAATACCAAGATACTGTACCCAAAACTGACCATAAAATGGAGCACTGTCTTGGCTTTTGGTACAATCCTGTAATGATACTGTTTTTCAGGACTGCCAGTCGCTGCATGGTGACATTCCTCAGAAGCAAAGAGAGATCACACTGAAAGGTTTTAGGAACGGTACATTTAAAGTGCTGGTTGCAACCAACGTAGCTGCCCGTGGTTTAGACATCCCCGAAGTTGACCTGGTTGTACAGTGTTCGCCACCAAAGGTAGGAGTTGGTTGTGCTGAGTGTCTTGTAGTAACTTGCACGTTTGTTTTTAAGTAGTAAATGCTATCTGGTGATGTTATCCGCCGCACAGAATATATCAGCGTTGCATTTAAGGGTAAGGAATGGCCTGCCTATTCAGAAGCAGCTTCTTAGGGGATTTTTTCAGAGTGCATCAGTCCCCAGTATGCTTGAAGATGGGTGTTCTTAAAATGCCTTCCCTTGAGGCTGTTTAAAGACCCTCCCTTCAAGGCCATAGTACGTTGCAAGTCTGGACGCAGTGGGAATCATAGAATCCCAGAATGGTTTGGGTTGGAAGGGACCTTAAAGCTCATCCGGTTCCAACCCCCCTGCCATGGGCAGGGACACCTTCCACTAGGCCAGGTTGCTCCAGGCCTCATAAGTGAAGAAAGGCTCTTTGTCCTGCAAGAGGGATTCACTAAGTAGGGGCATATATGAGGAGAGGAGCCCAAGAGCGAGAACACTGGCTGAAGTTAAGAGGGTTTTAAACAAGTAAGACCTCTTTTCAGTGAATTTGCTCTTAATATCTCAATCATCATGCAGAGGTCGATATGCAGGAGGGTGAGTGGGATTGTGATGAGGTACACACACTCCAAATGTCTTCTCATATTCTCTGTGGTGATGCCAAAACAAGACGTAGTTGATCCATACTTATGGTTCTGGCTTTCAAGCTGTGAATTTTAGGGGGTTATGGAAAGGCTTACTCGTTTGACTCCAGCGAAACAATGTCTTCAGCTTAATTCCCTGCTGCCCCTGTTGTGTATTTTGATTGTAATCGCTTCTAATAAGTTCTGTGAATGCCATCAGTTGATTAAATTACAGTAAGCCAGATAAATCATACGTCCATTTATTTTGAAGGATGTGGAGTCCTATATCCATCGCTCCGGGCGCACCGGTCGAGCTGGGCGGACTGGGATCTGTATCTGTTTTTATCAGCGGAAGGAAGAATATCAGTTAAGACAAGTGGAACAAAAAGCGGTAAAGTATCATTCTCTTCTCATCCCCAGCGCCCCGACGTAAGGTGTTAGGGTAGCACCGAGACCTTCCTGCGGGGGTTGGGCCTGGGGAAATGAGCAGGAGCTCAGTTCAGTGTTCACCCTGGCTTATCATCTGATGGGTGACTTGCGTGCGTGTAGCTTTACTGGGAGCTGTTGCTCCCCTTTTTGTACTCTCTGCACTGTTCCATAGGATAGTTTTTCCCACCAGTTAAATATTCGGTTGGATGAGATGGTTTGGCTTTGGCACAGAAACCCCAAGACTTGGAGTTAGAAAGGCTGTGTAATTTGTACGTAAATCCAAGTAAACCAGACTAAAAACAGTAATTTAGAATTTGTAGGACTTTTTTTTTCCCTGGAATATGCCAAAATGGCCTCTACTTATTTTAGATTAAGGTCACCGGATTACTTAAACTGACCTGGTACACAAAAGGCTTTTAAGTCTTACCCATTCTCCTGTAAGCTTAACCTTGTAATTTTCAGTAGCAGAAGTTGGGAGTTAAAAGGTGAAAATGAGAAGAAAAAACGCTAGTTTCATTGGAGTCCGTCGCTGTTTCTTCAGAACTGAATTGTTTATGGTCGGCAGCATTCAGCAATGTTTTTTTCAAATTTCAGGGCATCACATTCAAGCGCGTCGGTGTCCCTACAGCAACAGACATCATAAAGGCTTCCAGCAAAGATGCCATGAGGTGTGTTCGGTCACTCAAGCCCTGTCCCTTGTATCCTCCTGTCTTCCTAGTTCAGGAGGGCTGTTTGAATCGCCCGCTGCAGTCCCTCTGAACCGATCATGATTAAAGTCTTGGACTGCTGTTTTCCTTCTATTTCAGAGCCTAATAAACACTGTATCTTCTTTTTTTCCCCCCTTTCTTTAATTATTAGGTGCCTGGATTCGGTTCCTCAAACTGCGATTGAGTATTTCAAAGAATCAGCTCAGTTTCTCATACAAGAAAAAGGGCCAGTTCATGCTCTGGCTGCAGCTCTAGCCCATATTTCAGGTGCCACTTCCATTGAACAGCGCTCCTTGCTGAACTCGGATGCGGTAAGGGCTCAACGTTTGTTTTGAATCTGAAAACAGCCGAAGCAACATGCCTCTGTGGTGGTTAAATAGAGAATTCTTTGTTTCCTTACAATTTTGTTTACGGGAACTGTCTTTAAGCCCCTAGGAAGTACTGATTTAGGTAAAAGCAAGAACGTAGCGGCTATCAACACCGTCCCGTAACAGCATCCACTTGAAAACTTAGTTTGTAAACTGTAAATCAGCAGGCTTCTCTTGTCTGACAGGTGTGTAAATGTGCCCAATTTCTTACTCCTTAGGGATTTGTTACCATGATACTACACTGCGCTGAAGAAATAAACAATATGAGCTATGCTTGGCGAAGACTACGAGAACTGTTGGGTGATGGCGTTGATAGGAAAGTGAACAGAATGTGTTTCCTCAGGGGAAAAATGGTAAGCTATTTTTTGTGTCTTTGCTGCTGAGCTCTCCTGCTTGTAGCCTTTTCTCAGCAATCGTCAGGGGGGGATATTTGGTCATCTTTCCCCATTCCAGGCTCTGTTGGCCTGGATGGGCCTCAACCTGTGTTATTTGAGCTGAGGCATCTCAGGGGCTTAGGGCTCTGCTGCACTGGCATGCTGAGGGGGTGTTACGGAGCAGTGTAGAGCATGGCTCTAGGGCTAGCAGAACAGGCACAAGGTGGCATGAACCGCGTTTACTGTGCCCAAATGACGAAACGCAGAGCAGGATTCCCTAGGGCGGTCAGTTCTGAGAGCGCGTGTCCCTGTTCCTGTTATCTGAAAGGGTGCGTTCTGGGCTGTGTGTTTAACAACTGCAGCGAAGCTCGCCCAGAAACAGTCATTTTAAACAAAAGCCATTCCCCTCACTCTTCTTGTCTCAGGATGTGTAGGCATTTTCACATTTCCGGGATTATTTGTGGTGACACAGAGGACAAGGAATGCTTATGTTCTGCTTCTGTGAGGCATTGCTGCTGATTTGCCCCATCTTTGTGTTTTTCCGGGTGTATTTCCTGCTTCTCAACATACCCGGATGAGTAAAACCGTACAGAGAGATGCCATGAGCTTGATGACTTTATTTACGGGCTGTCAGCACATGCCATTCTCTTATCCCGTATTCTGCTGATTTATTTTTCTGGTGCTTTCGCACACCTTCATGGCCACACACCCCCGTGTTGAAGGTACTTCATGACTCAAGTGGTTTAACTTTAGATTTTCATTCTGAACCTCAATATTCAGCTTACTGGATGTATACATTTCTTAGTGTAGATTAAAGCTCCTGACTGGAAAGAATGTACGAAATGAGTAAGGCAGAAGGCAACAGACCACAGTGGAGGATGGAGAGGGTTATAAGCTCATTGTTAAAGAGCCAGAAAATGTGAATTGGAAGTACTGGCTATGCAGAGGAGAGAAAAACATGTGTGTCTGGGGAAAAGAGTAAGGAAGTACAAGTATTGGTGTTTGGAGAGATACTGGTGCGACTCAGAGTTCAAAGATTTTGAAGTGTCTTTAAAAAAAACCACTTCGAAATGTAAAACCGTTTGTTCTAGCACACAGATTTCCAGTCTTTTTTCTTTATTTCAGTCAATTAAAGGCTAGACTTGTGTCTATTAAAATGATTCTCTCTTTTTAGGGTGTGTGCTTTGATGTTCCTGCAGCAGACCAAAAGGAAATAGAGGTATGTCCGTTGACATTGCTGGTTACAGCAGACTGTAGGTAAAATTGGCTGGCCTAGCTTAGGCAGAAAACATTACGTAGCCATATTCTGCCTTTTCTGGTGGCAAAAGGGATGACTTCTGAAGGAATTGGGAGAACAGAACAAGCATACAGTGTTCCTTTCCTATAGTATCTGTCTCCAAAATAGCTGGGGACTTGTGCACTGAGAAGAGTGGTGGTGTGAACAGTCCACCCCTCGTTACTGCTGATGGATTAACCTTTGTAGGCAACGAGTCTCCTTATGCTGTAAAATCCCCTTTTTTCCATTCCGACCCTTCTCTTGACCCGGAATTCTCTCCACAGAGAAGTGAATTCTAGGTTTTTGCTTGGCAGAATTAATATTCCCATGCCAAAATTCCCTAGGCTGTCCTTAATTTCCTAATCTTTTAAAAATTCCGTAGTCTTTCCTTCAGGTATTTCTCCCTTAGTGCCTCTCCATACCCTCAGGGCCCGGGCATTCCTTCACTCCTAACCCCATTTTTGCTTCTGGATTAGAGGGGAACTGGGGGGAGGGTGTGGATTTGCGATCAGTAATAATTAGTGGTATTCTTAATAATGGGAAGGTGGGGGAAGAGGTTACTGGTGCGGCTGCTGGGGAAAGCTCTGAGGTGGATCTCAGTCCTGTTCCTGGGTATCCGAGGTGTCAACTCTTGAGCCACGCGGGTTGGCGAGCTGAATCCCCGCTGTTAGCTCAGGGTGTTTCCTCTGCAGCTGAGCCGGGCTGGTCATTAGGAAACGCCCTGCGTGTGCGATCCTAGAATGTCACTTAACGCGCCCGACTTTGTTTCAAAGGCAAAGTGGGAAGATTCACGACAATGGCGTCTGCGCGTGGCGACTGAGCTGCCCGAGTTAGTGGAATCACAGCGAGTAGGAGGAGGAGATGGCCGAAGCTTCTCGGGCTCCAGGAGAGGGCGGCGTGGTGGCAGTGGTAGAAACCGGTTCAGAAGCAGAGGCCAGAAGCGAAGTTTTGACAGAGCATTTGATCATTAACTTCAACAATCCTGAAGTGGAAATTAATAGGACTGCAGTATTTTATATAAATCCTCTGTTCCTTTGTTGTTTGTACCACTTGGAAGAATTCAGATTTTTCTTTTCTCAGTACTACTTTAGTCATAACTAAAATTCTGTTCACTTTAAAAAACACAATCAAATAAAGTTTATTGTTTCCTTTCTTTCTTGTATTGCCATTTCTACTGTAAGACCTAAATCTTTACCCCGGAATATGGTGCTTGAATTCATAGAATCATAGAATAGAATCACAGAATGGTTTGGGTTGGAAGGGACCTTAAAGATCACCTAGTCCCACCCCTCCTGCCATGGGCAGGGACACCAGAACTGTAGCCTGGCTCACTGGATAAATACACGGATCCTAACTGCTAGTACACTTTCCAAACCTGTACATTTTCCAAACAAATAAAATACTATTTTACAAGTTCAGATCCTATGTTAGGGGGAGGTTTTCAAGGTGCGTGTGTAGGGCAAAGGTGAGTAGCATAGACTGATCCCACCTGGAGTGCTGCGTCCAGCTGTGGAGCCCTCAACATCAGGATATAGACTGGTTGGAGCGAGTCCAGAGGAGGCCA